GAAGAAAATTGAATTTTATCCTTGACATTTTTTTTTTTTTCGAGAAATTCACGATTATTTACGATCGTTTACGTTTTTTTGCGAAGTCTTCACGAATGAAAAAAGGTAGGGAGTTTTTTTCACTATACCTGGTGCACACATCGATCCATCACGTTTTTTTTGTTTCATACCTTGTCACAGACTAGTTTGTATCTTTTTTTGCGCGCGATAGTGACGTAATACCACAGGTAACCTTTTTTTTTGCTAAGAGCGCGCGCCGATCCATACATATACTTTTTTTAAGCGTGCACATTCGCTCTTTTCTGTCTCTAATTTTTTTTTTGGGCGGCCTATGATCTAAAGCTCCCTAATGATTTTTTTGTCTCGCCATGGACCGATGTGTGCACCAGGTAGTTTTTTTACTTTTTCGGAAAACGCTCGGGTTTTTACATTTTTTTTTTCTTCGGAAGACTTCGAGAGCTGTCGCAAAGTACTTTTTTTAAAAGAAAGTACTTTTGTAGCTGTCGACGAAGGTTTTTTTTTGGTGACACCAACGTGTTACGGATTGCTTGCGTTTTTTTGCCATTTATTAATACAACACGTTAATTGTGAAATTTTTTTAAATGTATAGTCGTAAACGTCTAGCTTATTTTTTTTTTTTAACCAATTCCTCGAAAAGTGTCCGAGAAAAAGGTTTTTTTCACGATAAGATTATGATGTAATATTCTGTCTATTTTTTTTTTATATATGAATTTAAATTATGAATATCTGATATTTTTTTTTATGAATATATTTTTTACTTCAATGAATGTACTGTTCAAAATTCTAATTGTTTATTATTATTTATATATTATTTTTTTTGGTTTTCTGCAACGACCTCGAAACGATAGAAATTTTTTTTCAGGAAAAATATCCTGTCTTTCTCATTTTTTCCTTTTTTTCCCGACTTCACGATCTAAGAGCGTCTAGTTCAATTTTTTTAAACTTCCGAGACTTAAACAAGTTTTACGAAAATTTTTTTGTTAAAAAAAGAACGTACTTAAAGTATACTTATTTTTTTTTTTTGTACATGGACCAGAGCTTACTAGAATCTCTTTTTTTTTATTTTCATGCGAATATTTTTAAATAAATCCATTTTTTTACTGATAAAATCAAACGCGGTAGACTAAATGTCTTTTTTTGCTGATTTACACGGTACGATTTGTCGTGCGCGATTTTTTTTATACGACTTGAATAGCGCAGTGTAAATGCCCCTTTTTTTTGTCTACAGCAGTCGTACGCAACCTACGACTTGTTTTTTTGTTTTGAGCCATGGCTTAAAATCCTACGACTTGTTTTTTTAAAATCGTATACTACAAGTCGCGAGCGACAAATTTTTTTTTGTAAATCAGCCTTAAGTGATATCCAATGCTTTTTTTTTTCAAATTGACCTCTCAGGTCAAGAAAATAAATACTTTACAAAATAAAAGATGCCTATAAAATAATCAAAGTTGCCTTTTTGTTATTGATAAACAAAGTTTCTTCTTGTTCTAATGAGACCTCTGCCCAGACAAGACACATCTACAGCTAGAGAGGTTGTTGATTCAGTTTCGTAAGCATACTACTCGAAGCTACATGTGATCTGCACATGCGCGTGCTTTTGATGATACGAAATGCATTCCGATGAGATCAGAGATACCACATTTGAATTTAAAAGTACTTCCGGTTTCAACGTCTCGAATACTCCAATTTCGAGCTCTGGTTTGCTCTGTGTTAGCCTCAAAACCAAGTAAAATATTCTCTTGTTTTATTACAATAGCCCAAGAAAATGCATGGAATTTGTGAAGAAAAACAATAAAATTGATTTGAAATCTCACACTTTTATTCTCACAATAGGAATATTTTGCGCACAAATGAGGCTAACACAGAGCATTGGAGAATTCGAAACTCGATTATTCTGTTAAACTTCCGGTGGTACAAACACAGATAGGCAAAAAGGTAAAACTAAAGTCGTAGGGACGTATAGCAACAACCATAACTGTTGGATTAGATGATTGATCTCAATACGACGGCGTTTGAAGCTTGTGCAAAAGACACAAATAAAAAACGGGAAACCAAACAAAATAACCTGTTATCATGTGTTATTGATTGGTTTTAAGGACTGAAATTTCAGCACTGGCATGCCCATCATCTCACAATACAGGTCTCTTTTAGGGGTCATTTTCAGAATTTCCATCGCCCTTTTTTTAGGGAGTACCCTCCCGGGTATTTAAGGCCTTGTTACCTACCTCATATAAATAGGGCCTAAGAAAGTGCCATAGTTGGTATACTTAAAAAACCCATAATAGAGGCGGATGTGGTAACGTATAAGATTTTACTGTCCTAAAAGTGTTTATGTCTGCACATTTCGCACTAGGATACTGAAAATCTCTGTGGAAGGTAATAGAGTCTGAGAGTCGTCTGAGAGTCGTGTCAAGTACGTACACAATTAATTTTTGAATTCCTTTAGTTGGGTTACCTGTGTTGAATACTAACCCAGTCTTACTCATCCTAAGTATTTTTAAAATGGCGGACGAAACTGCTGTATTCCARCCAAGCGTTGATCATGTTGATTCTGATCTAAATGAAGAGAGTTTGTGGATTTTATGTTCTCCTAGAGGCACAAAGAAGCTAAAGTATAGTACAATGTTTATGTTTGAAAGATATTAGCTTTGATAAATATTTAAAATAGCAAACTTCAAAGAACGCCAAATCTTCTTGACATCGTAATATAAGAAATTCTGTAAAGTTTTGATATTTGATTGAATAACAGTGTCCAACTGTAATGAACTAAGGGCTTAAACAATTCGAACGGGGACGATCGCTGTTACCTCTTAATCCGAACCACATTCAAGATAGAAAAATCGTGAAATTCTATAACCAATGACAAATTGGTAAAAAATATGAAAACCCAATCCAAGACTCGAGGTTTGTCATAAATCAGGAAGTTTTCAGGGGTGGGTCCAGAGATTTTGAAAGGGGGGGGGGGGGGGGGGGAGGGTACATGTATAAATTTTGGGATGGTTTCTAAATGGTTTGTAGGCTTTATGAATATGTATTTCCCAAAAGAAGGGGTCATCCCCCCCCCCGTCCTCCCTGGATACGCACATGATTTTCTTTACTTTTTCTTCAGGTTGGCTCTGGAAAATTCATCGCTCTATGACAACAGCAGAAAAATAGCACATCAGCACAGTGACACCAAGCGTATGGCAATACCAGTCAAAACAAACCTACACAATGCACTACAGACWAACAACGACCTGAAAGCTTTGATAGAGAACTTATCGGCAAAAATTGAACTCATTAATGACCTCAGTACAACATCAAAAAATAACAGAATTACTCCAAGAGATGTCCTTATTCAAAACCTCAGGAAATTATTTCATCAAARTGGACTGGTGATGAGTGATGACCTYATAAGKGAAGTCCCCAAAAGTTGGGATAAACATGGTGACCTGGTGCTACTCCCAGARACGTGCTTCACTTCAGAAGACTGGGTCCAGTTTGGTGAGGAATTGTGGGTAACAGTTGCGCATGCACTTGGGGCAAATCGCATTGGTAAAAAGTCATGCATAATTGATAATGATTATCGAAGCCCTAGAGTTAATCTACTKTATGGAGAGTCTGGATGGGTTTCGCACATTGACAATGGAATAWCTTACACCTATGACGTCACAAAGTGCATGTTCTCTTCTGGCAATATAACTGAAAAAATAAGAGTWGGAMATTTCGATTGCGCAGGTCAAACTGTTGTTGATTTGTATGCGGGTATTGGGTATTTTGTACTACCGTATTTGGTCAAAGCTAAAGCAAGGCTTGTTTATGCATSTGAATGGAAYCYAGATGCAGTACAAGCTTTGAGAAGAAATCTTGAACTTAATGGTRTGCAGGGRAAGTGTATTGTAATTCAGGGTGACAATAGAAAGGTATGAACACAGGTAGCCCAAGCACTGAACTTGACGGCTTTTCTTGAAGGTCTTGTGGGGAAAAACAAAAAAATTCAATAAAAGTAGGAAATCTTACAGCGAAAATCGTTGCATCGCGACTTCTTTGTTTTGAAGTTTGTCTGGATTTTGTTCTTTCCTTCAGTCTGAGGGGCGGAGCTTTTCGAAATCTCGTTCAGTCATTGGCTGATTTGTATCAAGCTCGGAACCAAAGTCACCTAAATCCCAATGATTTCCTTTGAACATTGAAGTCGCGATGCAACGGTTTCTGCTGTAATAAAATGAATTGAAACTCACACAATATGTTGTTCTTAATTTATTACACATCTATGCGAAGTTTCAGCTTTCTACAGTCAAAAAAACCTGCTTTTTTTCTTAATGTTGGTCCCCTAGATAATAAATACTGTCATGATTTCCTACTTTTATTGAATTTTTTGTTTTTCCCCACAAGACGTTCTGAGAAAAGCCGACAAGTGTAGTGCTTGGGCTACCTGTGCTATGAAGTGTGAAATGAGCCATTGTATAATACACACAAAACTACCAGACTGTTGTATTAATGGTTTTGGTTAGGAAAACAACATTACCAATGCAACCAAGAAAAAATGAAAAATTCAATTTCACATTGTTTAAATAAAATTTGGAAAAAGTTGTTTTGATTGTGAAGTTGTTATAGTTTTATTAAAGGTTTGCCACTAAAAATTTAAAAAAATATATATTTAGAAATATAATAAACTTACCGGTAGTCAAATTGACTTTACATTTTTTTTAAAAAGATTTGCTTTCAAATGATTCCTGGTCCATGTGGGAATATATGGACCTCATTTCAATCACAGGTCATGTTATCATCTAGCTGTATATTCAAATGAAATAACATCTAATATATWTTGTTTTTGCAACAGTTTCCATACAGTGACATAGCTGACCATGTAAACCTTGGTCTCATACCATCCAGTGAAGCTGCTTGGCCTGTCGCTTGTGCCGCACTGAASAAAAACGTGGGTGGGTGGCTACATGTTCATGGAAATGTGACATCATTAGGGACAGACACATCCGAGGTTAGTGRCAGATATGATGGGTGGATTTCTGTTCTAATTATTATTGCATTGTTCACTTGTGAAGCAAAGCATTTTACATTTACATTCCCAAATCAACCACTAAATAGCCCTATTTCTATGTACTTCAGTTTAAGTATTCTTTCCCACAGCCAGAGTATTGGCCCTAAGGGGACTGGGAGGGCCAAGCAGAGATTAAGGAGGAAATTTGTTCCTCCTCAGTCTCCCCAGCTGATATGAAGGCTACCTCTCCCCCGGATCCCCGGATCCCCGGATCCCAGGATCCTCGGATTTATTTTGGTAATTATGATAAATTCAATACTTTATAGGACAATACCACACTAGATCAGCCAACGTGCAATCGCAAAATAAAGCAAGCATGGCTTGAATGGTCCAAGTATACTATTAGAGAGATACAAAGACTTTTGGTGAAGCAATCTTTGAACAGTGACTGTGCCATGTGGGATGTCCAAGTGAAACACATTGAGCATGTCAAGTCATATGCTCCACATGTTGATCATCTGGTGTTGGACATTAAGTGTCAACCAGTGACTTAAATCCAAATAAAATGAATAATTCCAAACATCCAGTATTCAAGAGATCATTGTAGAATTTTTGTTAATAAACCTCCTGGGAAGATGGACACCTTTGGGACCAGAACAAGTGTTCATCTTTGATAGGTGTCTGTCGTATGTAGACATAAGTTAAATGACACCAAAATGCCATTATTTGAAGATGTAAAGAACTTGGGTTGTTAAAAAATTCGTTGCATTACCTTAAATATTGGGTTTCCTGTGTGCAGAAAGTTTCGGGGGTCCTGTGTAACGTGTGGGCCTGGATTCTCAGTCCAAGATGGCGGATGCATAGTTACTTACTTTGCATGTGCGATTTAGCTGAGATTTACTTCTTGAAATTGTGTTGAAAARTTAAGAAATGGTGAATTTAACGAACATACTTCATGCACGTGGTCCTCATCTCATATATGGAGTCAAGCGAGGAAAGGTACCGACCAAACTTCGATCAACTGTTGTCACCACAAAACCTCCAGGAAAAAGTAAGAAGTTTAAGCTAATAAAATTATTATCTGATAAATTCTTTATCGAGACAAGATCAGACTTTTTCATTCACTGCTTATCTGTTAACGTACCCAACAAAACGAAATACGGCACCACACATGGAGGATATAAGTTAGTGTGCTAAGAAAGATTCAATTTAAACAGGTTTCAAGTGCGGAGGGATTTTTGCGAGAGGAGACTCAAACCTTTTTCTTAGTTTTGTGAAGAATGCGACAGACTGCAAAATTGCACGAGTGTTATTTTGGATTCAATTTTGTGTAAAAGTTTAAACTCAAAGTACCAATCTTTTACGCAACAGAACGCCAAGATTTAGGAAAACTAGTTTTGGAGTCACTTCGAATAAACTGTTTGAAGATCCGAAAATGTGAATGATTTGGCAAATAAAGTCTCATATTTCAAAGACTTTGTCCAGCAAGGAGGGGTGTTCTGGAACCCCTTTTACGTCCTGCAGATTCCCGAGCAAAAAATGAAAACACAGGGAGCACAGGGTCTTAATCAGTGTGGTTCTTATATAACGCCCATTCCCCCTTTATTATTTTATCATTATTTTGAAGATTTTGTATGATAATATTGAATCATGGATTTCTTGCTTGGATTGCAATGAAATCACAATAACTATCCCCTGGTGAAGTTTYAACCGGTTCGTTAAGTACATTATACCTTTCTCCCCACCAAACAAAGGAGAAGTACTTATAAAATAACGAAGGGGGGAGGAGTAGTTACATAATGACCGACTCTGATTCGCCCTGTGTAAGAGAATCCGGAATCCGGAATCCACTGAAAAAACAGCTTTGGAACCTGGAATCCCTATCCTGGAATCCGTAATCCAAATATTTATAATCCAGAATCTGGAATCCAGCAAAACTTTTGATATCTAAAAAACACATAGGACATCGTCCCGCTGACGCCTCTGCGCAGGCTACTGACACGCTGAATATATATTTTTCAGGAAAAAAACCCTGAAAATCAGGCCATTTATTGTACAGAATCCAAAACAAAAATTCTTTGGAATCCGGAATCC